TCGAAGAAATTAATTCTTTGTACTACTTTATTAACACTATCTGATTTACTGAGACTAAACATACCTTGTATTTTTAATTCACTAGTGATCCTTTTATATTAAATTGTTTTCAATACAAGCCTTCCGAAGTCTTTCGTATAAAAGTCAATATGTCTCTCTGAATAACAGCAGAAAAGTGAAACCCAATGGACTAATTCTCGGCACCAGTGTTTTATAGATACTTAATAAAAGGAATGGCATCAAATCAAAGGATAAGGTACTATTTAACTACATTCAGAAACAACTGCAATATCAATGGAAATATTTTCAATTAAAGGTCAATTAAAATCAAACAGAATTTCAAAACCAATTTACAATGCATATTATGCTACTGCTACTATTATACATATGACCTTAGGAATTGTGCTGCAATTCAAAGAATCATTGTAGGATGAAGATGACCAGATCTTACGACACAAGAATGACCTTTGGAGTCGTCATTTAGGCACGAGACCGGTTTTCAAACACCACCCAATTTACCATTCATGAACGTTAATAAACATTAATGACTGAAGGTTAAATATCATTGACTGCTTAGAAATGAAGACAAAAAAGGTTGCAAAACATCAAGAACTTTTTTCCATATTTTTGAGCCATTATGATTTTTTTTTATTTAGTGCTTGTGGCCTAGAAACTAACCTTCTAGACTTCTATTACAAACACTTTTGTGCCATTTCAAGGCATTCATAGAAATGGTAGGACAATGAGAATGAATAAGTTACAAAACAAGCATACTGTGGTGAGCCTAAAAGAAGTGCCAGGCAAAAGCATGTTATAGTAAAGGGCAACTTACTGAAGATGGGAGATGTTCGAAATGTCAAAGCAGCGTATCTCGGAACCCCGACTGGCCACCGAACTTCTGCCCGCCTAGATACTACTTAGGGATACCGTGAACCTCCACTCGCATTATCTCCAAGCTGACAAGCAGTAGATGACGCAGGACTGACGACCCTGGTAATCTCCTGTATCGGTGGGCAGGACAAACTTTGGATCGCTATGCCAGTGGAGGCAGAATGGCGAGAATCTACCTGTTCTATTATTAGTCTATCAAATCTTCTGAAGGCACCAAAGTTGTAGATGATGAATGATTAGTATTGATATTAGTTACAGTTACAGGTACAAAAGCGTGAGACCAGATCGTCGGTCAGACAATTGGCCTCGGTACATTTAAATTGGCTCTTCCCGTTTGTCTGAACGTGGGTAAGCACAAAGCTATATTGCCAGTTGATCTTTTAACCCACATTTATTGTTCGGACAACAATAACTGGTGACTCGTTGTAGCGTCGCGTGCTTGTGACGAAATCACTACTTGAATATTAATTTTTCTATACAGACTTGTAAACATCTTATAACATCTTACTTCTTACTAATATTATAAATGGTAATGTTTGGAAGTATATATGGATGTTTAAAGGTATCTTCGGAACGGCTTCATGGATTTCGCTGAAATTTGGTATTTTAGTAGAACATATCCTAGAACACGTAGCCTAGATTTTTTTAATTTCACGCGGACTCAGTCAGGAGGACATCTAGTTTTTTTTATAAATAAATATTAAAATTTGTCATGATATCAACGAGGCAACGTTTTAAATGTTTACACAAAAAACGATGATAATGTTCAGTTATGAGTTTGAGTAAATATTAGCCAATATTATATCGTAATTCGGTTACCACGATTAGGAAAAATTTGGACACCTAACAACCGTTAAACCAAAAAAAAATTGCAATAGAGATGATAAACTTTCAACATTTATTTGAAAAAAACTTCGCGATAAATCAACCATTTGGTCTAGTTTAAAATTACTATCTTGTGTACTTGTGAATTATGACACTTCAAAGTTATTCGCGCATTTTTATTTAAAACGTAACGTGGAAACGCGCAATCTGACATGCTGTCTTTGTTTATCCAAAGAGAATGTGTGAGATGACAATACAAGAGTCACTGCAATCGAAACCCATAGTAAACAAGTAACAGGATAATTCATTCATATTTTAATTGTCTTCTTTAATCATCGTGTTTCAGTTTAATATGTTTTATGTTACCGTAATATACGAAGGTAATAAAATATCTCCAGCAATTGTACTTTATACATCTCAAGTATCACTACTTAAAATCAATAAAGCTTCATTATTTTTACGATTTACTGTCGTGATAAAAAAGCACGAGTTATTGCTGACTTTATTGTTAACAATGAGAAGGCGAAATCTTCACGAACAATTCCGGTGAAATTACATTTTAATAGTGTCAATGCACTTAAATCATGAATTTATTTGTGTTAAATATAATCAAAAAGCAATTTGTTAAGTATAATAAAGCATGTACAATAGGGGAATCGGACGGTGTTCCACGTTTTGTACACATTTAGAAAACATTGCGGAAAAATAAGCAATAGGACGAAGCGTTTAAATGTGTCGTTTTTAATTGGTTATTTGTAAGAAAAAAGAGGATTTTGTGTCGTTGCAAGGTACAAGGCAATTTTATGTAAGTGGAACACCGCAGCTTTCCGCGACTGTACAAACACACCAACAAACTACACAAGAAAAACAAAGCTTTTCATATTAAAAACATCTTTCAACTTACTAAAATGTGAAAGTTTGTTACCTGGTAACTCAAAACGACTCGATGAAATTTGGATAAATAGAAGCAACCCGAACAAAGTCGCTGGCGACAAATAGTTTTATTATACAAAATGAATATTTATTTAGCCAATACCAGGCATAAATAAGGAGTATTTTACAAAGACTGTCTTATGTATATTTAATTTATTAATTGACTCAAACATTAATTACAGTGTTCGCGATACAACAGTAGCGTCTGATATCATCCCAATGATTCATTTAATTTATTTTACCTTAAACTTATTTGAAGGTCAATATAAATACTTTGACATTTTTAAGACGTATTTTAACTGAAATATGACATGAAATTAAAAATGATTTAAGACAGAATTTAGACTGAAACATATGAACACTTTTTAGAATGGATGTATATTACTTTCATATTAAACAATTCGGAGTCCTCGGTACATTTTGTGTTAAAGTGCTATGTAAAATACGTAGTTATTTAGCAAGAATCTATTCCAACTAAGTTTTTTTTATAACAAAGTTGTTTATTAGCTGTTTTTCCTTGTAAGGTTATGATTATAACTATCTGTGCGGATAACACATCGAGAAGTTAAAATAAAAAAAAACTGACAATAGAATGTAATGTTTGTAAAATTGTATTAAACATACTAGCTGTAGCCCGTGACTTCGTCAGCGCGTAATTAAAAAAGCTTAATAAGTAGTCTATGAGTTCTATATCTATGCCAAATTTCATCTATCATCTATACGCGTTTATAATATTAATAAGATTACTAACTATTGGACGCCCGCGACTTCAGTTCAGGAAATAAGTAACCTATAATTTACTCGCATGCATCACATACCTTCCAGTTCCAGTAATTCCGGTGACTACCGAAACAAATTCGGACTTGTGGATAGATTGTCAAATATTTTAATAATTCAGCAACAACATCATATGTTTGCGAAATATGATTTTTTCGATATTATATACAGACACACCAATTTTATTGTGTACAGATAAGATTTTTTCAAAGAAAATATATCTTCATTCGAGTTTTTTCAAGGTCAAATCTCACAGCTATTGTGTAAATATTACGTAAGATCGAATTATTAAAAAACGCAATAAATTTTATTTTTATTTTAACTTACAATGCATGCAGTTTATGTGGGTATATTGTAAAGATAAAAAATATAAGGGAACAAGCTTATACGTTGCTAACAATAGAATTAAAAATAGAACAAAACATCAGCTTTGAATATACCATGTTTTTTACGACACAAAATAAAAAAATGCATATTTTTCAATCTCTTATTTCATATAAGAGATTGAAAAATAAGTTAAGAGAATGAGATTGACTAACAGAGATGTTTATAGTAATAGAAATTTAGTGGTTAATCATTAGAATTAAGTTTTCGTAAACAATAAATAAGTTTAAGCTAAGTTACTATTCAATAAGGCACTACTTATATTAAAATAATTTTTATATTTTATAATTTGTTTAGTAATCTTGAATGATTAACTTAAAACAAAATTAATATATAAAATTAATTATATTATTTATTTAAATAAATAAATGCATCAGAAAACCGGTTGACATTACAAGGTTGTGAAACTAAAAGTATTACAAAATTATAATATTTAAATAGTTAATTTATAGGGTTGTTGCTATTCATTACAACATATTTTAAGGCAGCAGTTTTTTTGGAATATGAAAGAAAATGTTTGTTTTAAATCGAATTTCGAATCGTAGGAGTCGTAACAAACCCTATTTGGTTAAAAAGATTAAAATTTTTAATGATGAAGAAAATGTTATTGTTCAGATAAAAAAAAACAGATTAATATGTAAAGTTTTTTATTCATTAATTAGTAAGTGCATGTAAAATGCATTAACATATTTTTGTTGTTTATACGTAATGACATATTCTTAATAAAATTATAATACAATTTTATATTAAGAATTATTACAAAATTTGTGGCAACCCTAAGCGTAAATTTGCGAAGGTATCCAATCATAGGTACAAGGCCTGACCTGACCATCTGTCATGGTCAGCGTCAGCGGATAAGGTTGTGCAAGACATGATCGTCTTCAAGCCTGTCAGATTCATTATCTTTAAGACATTATACAAAATTCTTTGAGAATGTATGTAAAAATTAAATTTATAGAAACCATTGATCGTTAATATAAATATGCATTTAAGTATCCTTGATTTAAAACCGTTCACTATCTCAGTCTGTTGAAATATCTTAAATACTCGTATAGTATGATAAAAATTTTATGAAACCTACTTAAGTTAATGTTTTTTATGTTATGAACATATAACAAAAAATCTTCATGTCACATAAAAAGGTAAACGTATTCCATTGTAATTTACAAAGATAAACAAGAATAACTTACCAGTAGGACAATCCCATCCAATTTTAACAATGTTTTAACTGAATTTGATGTCTAATTGTCACCATATTCTGTTAACAACAGGTATTCATCACAAAAAATACCTAACAGCACTTTAAGGTACCGCGAATTCACAGAAATGATTATTTTATTTGATAAAATTTAAATAAAAAACCTAAGCATTTGTATTATTTACTGTATAACTTATTTGACACTTAAATTACAAAAAAATTATATGATTTTTATGTCCATTCTGACAGGAAAGAAGCTTTTCTTGTTAAAAACTTATTACGGTATATTTTTAGAGTAGAGTAAAACAACCCCTCACACGATACGATTCGGTCACTGACTATGACTGACTGAACTCCGAACAAAACTTGCTCGACTTGATTCGTTTGATTTGGTTGATTTGATTTTGGAACGAATCTTTAAGCTTTAGATGAATAAACTTTGCAGCTTTATTTTTTGCGTCTTTTCTACAATTTTGCTCTATTTTTACTATTGTTATTATTATAAAATTTAAGTTATGTGAATAATTTTAAGCAATTGACTTTTTATCAACATTTATAATAACGCCATCTAGTATAGTCTTATGAAACTTTTTATTGCACATAAAAACGAGACGGAAACAGTGTGATAAAACATTGCTTCTTTTAAACGTAGTTATAGTTTACCTTCTCATCCAGAGATGTCGCTTTTCAAATATTTGTGTATTTGATAGAAATGTCCAGATGTATTTTGAGATGTTTTTCATGACGCGAAATCATCGTTTGGAAGTTTAAGAATTTTTCTTAGTAAGGAATATAAAAATAAAAGTACAACACAATACAGGCAATGATTTTATTCAATAACACAAATAGTAGAGATTATTTTAGCCGTTATTGCAATCCCGGTTATAGTTATACAGATCAGTAGTTCAATTTTCATCATCAGTAGGTGATGAAGCATTTTCTAAATAGCCTGACCGACCTCTACTACTAACAGGAGTACCACTGCTAGTCGCAGGGTTTCCGCCGATGATTCGAAAACCTGGAGTTACTTCGGACACCGCAATAGGTATAGGATAATTTATAACCTGTTCCTTTGTCATTAATGGTCCAGTTTCATAATTAACTACATACGTGGTAGGTTTTTGAACTACTTGCGACTCGCGTAATGGTAACCTGTAAATTTTGTCAATGAAATTATTTACTTCATCGAATGGAAATATTCTTCGAGTAAAAGGCCTTCTCCCGAGTAAAGGTTTGCCTTGGTGCTTTTGCGTCACTCTTGTCCTTAAAGGTCTGGAACCAACATAAGTTGGACCTCTACCTATATAACGTCTTGAATTCAAAGATGGAATCAACATATCTCGCATATTACAAATTCCTCCACAACTATTTCGGACTATTCCGTTATCGACATAGTACGGGAAAGGTTTTTGAACAGTGTTAGGGAGATAAGTCTTGCCAAGAGGTATGATACCCAGTATTTTCGGAGGATCAATTGATGTAATCAAAACTGCTTCTAAATAAGGCATGTCCATTGGTAATTTATATGTTGTAAATTTTCCCTGCAACAAATTCTTATATTCAACAGAATTCCCTATTAAAATTGGACGTAAACCCAAATTAGCCGTATTTAAAATATGTCCATCGGAATCAATTATATAACCTTTCTCTGTAACAAACATTCCTTTTTCATGTAAGGTTTTTTCTATAAGGTATTTCAACGTGTAAATATCTATTGAATTTGACGCTCTCGAATTTACGAATCTCACTCGTTTCATTTGCTGGTCGAACCAATTATCAAAAGTATCTTGAATATTTACTCCGTTGACGCCTTGAATTTTTTTTATTAAAGTTTTTTTTAAAAAAGATAAATCGCCAGGACTTAGTGGTCGATTATGAAACATTTCATTTTTAATATAATCTATTGGTATTCTGTTGTCTGGTAATAACGTATCAATGAGTTTCTTTTGAACATTTATAGATATTGGAGTTATTTTTTCTGTATCTATAAGTTTTTTATTATGGCCTATGATTAGATGTGGCGGTTGAATATCATAATTTATCAAATCGTCAGAAGAAATATCATCAATTTCAGGTCTGTCCTGATTGGACTGAGATGTACTGTCATTTTCTAACAGAGGTACTATTTCTTCACGTATATCTGTAACAATGTTAAATGAATCTTCTTCTTGTATTTCATTTTCTATAGGCTTAATGACATTTTCAATTGTACTAATATCATCTGACGTATCAGTGATAAATGTATCTATATTTGATAATTCTGTCGGCACTGTGTGTGTTTCTATAATAGGATTTTGTGATGTTTGACTTGGTTTTGGGGTTTGTGATATTTTTTCATTAGAAGTTGGTTCATCAAAGTCTGTTATCTCATCAGTTAGTTCTGGCGGCATATCCTTAAAATCGTTTTCTGCTATAATCTCCTCCGGGTCCGGTGCATCAATGTTATCCCCGTCTCCGTCGTCAGCGTCAGTTTCCAAAGCATCTGTTGATATACTAGTTTCTTCAATTACACTATTTTCAGGATAATCAACTATCACGTCATCTAGATTATTATCTGAGTCCAAATTGGTATTAAATTCGTCACTATTGGACTTCGTTATTTTAATTGTATTTCCTCCATAAGGGCTAATCGTATTTGGATCTGATTTCTTTCTATTGATGTTCACAGATATAACATTAATAGGTGCGCCTGGTCCATTCCCTTCAAAGTCGAAATAAGGTTGCATTTCCGGATTTAAGTCAATGTTTAAATTCTGGTGGTTTCGAATATTCTTTGGTCTCGGAGGTTTCTGGTTATCAAAGAAAATATTTTCGTCATATAGTTTTATAACATTCTGTTTGGATGGTAAATTTTTACCTTTATTTTTTCGCTCAATCATTGGTTTATTCGGACGCATATGGCTTCGTTCACTTACCAGATCGGGATATTTAGTGAATATAGTAAGTAAATTGTCAGGTCCTTCTAATTGGTCGCCTTCATCAAAAGAAAGATCAGGTATCGCCTGTTGTTTCTCTTTATTTGGTACATATAATTCGATTTCATTTGAAATAGGATTTTCGTACAAATATACGACTAGTCTTTTCATGTTTTCACCATTATTTGTCAATTTCTCTAATACCGGTGTACCACTCGACTTTTGTGAGTAACAAAAACATTGTCTTGAATTTGGTGTGTATTTTGGTAGAATTTTAATAGGACCCCATGTTTGCGATTTTGGGAGTTCTCTGTAACATAAAAAATCGTAAATATCTATTAATTTACAAAAAATAAGTATTGAAAATAGCCAAGAACGGTTTACTGTGCGATTTATATTTACCTTATACACATAGACTGCGAAACCAAAAAGGACAAGAGGAACAGCTGAAAAATAAAAAATAATTACTATAGTTTAATAGTTGCGATACTTGTTTGTTCATTATAGATATAATATTGTTATAAGTGAAGACTTGTCATTGGCTCTCAGTTGTCTAGTCTATAGTTAATAAGATTATTATAGCTGTAAGTTTTCCATGTTGTAAATAAATAATCATGATTATGTGATTATTATTATCATTTCGAAATATTAATAATATTTAAATAAATATATGTTGTGATTGACTTAATTGTTATCTCATAGACTACATTATTATATGAGAGAAGATAATTAGAGAAATTTTCAATCAGTAGGGGATTGTTAGGAAAGAATTTTTGTGTGCCTTACAATAAATTAATTAATAATAAAGATCCATAGTATATTAAAAAAGCAGATAAAATAATGAAATTTATTATTATATCACAAACCTTTAAATCCATCTCGTTTGTCACAACACCATGCTTACGACTACATACTGCAAGAAAAATACTACCTTATATATAAAATAATTAGAATAATTAGTGAGAAAAGTCGTTCCATACAGCGTAACTAAACTTGTTACGAAGAAAACTCATAAGTTGAATCTTTGCCATCAATTAAAATTTATACTGTACGTTTGTAAATTAGTTTCTTTGCTAATTGCTAATTTCAGTTCGCACTCCAGTATATTGAAATATATTGTAGTAAGAAAAATTGTCATAATATTTATTTGTATATGACGCACAGCGCCTTATCGTAAGCGATTTGGCGATTTGGTTTCGAATGTTTGTACTGTGTTTATATAATTATTTCAAAAATCAATATGGACGTAATTATCAGTGAAATTACGTCAATAATTTGTAACAATTCCATATTTGATAAATAATAAGAACAAAAGTTATTATAATAATAGTAATTAGTGCTATCTGTGTCCTGACTTGTTTTGATTATGGCTTACTTAGCACAAATCACTTGCCCAAACCCTCCGAAGACAATAAACCTTTTTGAGTTTTCTAATAATAAAACATGAAAACCCTTAAATAAATGGAAAAATAAAACACTGTCAATATCAATGACATATAATCAAAAGTATATTCTATATGTTCTTGCCAAAGTTATAAAAAATCCCAAAAACATGAAAAATATGTACGTGGTCGCGAAAGCAAGCAATGAAATGAAACGCAAATCTTTCCTTGATATTCTATTCTGGGTAAAAAACAAAGTAAGATCTGTAGAAAATGATTCTACAGTAAATCTTCGTAGTTATACTACAAGCTCGGGTTCAGGAGCGATGAAGGGCGAGAGCGCGGGGAGAGCGGTCACTGAAACGGCGGGTACCTTCGGGGAATACGGCGCGATACAAGAAGATAGCTACTTCTATAAGAAACAAAAAGAACAATTGAAGCAGATAAAAAAGAAGTTAGAACAATCCGAAGCTTCTCAATTAAGCCAGAAGAAAGAAGACAAGTAATAGAAGATGTTTCTTTTCTTTGGTTCCTAATTCCTAAAAAAATGTTATCGATTCGAATCCTGTTAACTAAATTATTTTTTTCTGAATATTGACTTGTAGGTACCTTATTTTAATTTCAATTAAATTTTGTTTCACTCTCAATTTCACTTTATTATTTTTTTATATATAAAATGTGACAAAACTTAACGAAGGAGCGTCAATAGCCAATATAATAAATTAGGTTAAGGGTACGGATTTCCGATCATGAGGTTGTAGGTTCAAATCCCGCCATTTGACTTCGCCTAGAGCTTAGTTGGAATAGTACAAGAAATATTATTAAATTTACAAAAAATCTGCTAAAATAAAAAAATGTAGTTAAAACTAGTTGATCCACCCTAATGGATCACCCCAGTTGGGGTAGTTGATTTTTTAATTATCAATGAGATTTTATATAGATTAATTGGTAACAATCCACATTACATTTTACTTTTCAATAAAATAAAAATAAGGTTGTTATCATGACATGGACTTCTGAAATGGCCAAAATTTTACGTTGAATTGAATAAATCACAGGTTATTTTAAAAATATTCCGCTACTATTTAGTAATTTACATTTTTTTTAATAAACATGATGAAAACCTTACTTTCCTTAAATCTTAGTACATTAAAAACTTTTTCAAATGACATTTCAATTAGTTTTCTGATACTTCTGTCATTTTCTTTGATAGATCTTCTTAGTAAATTTTAGTTTATCGTTTTGCATTGATTTTTTAAAGAAATAATCCAGTGATTCAGATAAGAATGGGAATTTAAATATCAATTAACAATTAATAAGCATTAATAATGATAAATTTGTAATGAAGAAAACTTGAGCTATGGTGAATTTCTTCACAGTTACATACCCGAAAAATGTTTGTACCATTCCATGCAAAATAGGCGTACATAATTCGCCTCATTGCTTTTCAATCGTCAAAGGTAAATTTGTTCCAAATGCAATCCATGATAAAATGCCGGTTCAAAGTATTAAATTTAAGAAGCCTTCGAAACAGAAAATAGTAGAGTGCTTAAAAATGACAGAACCATCTCATTCCAATCAACATGAAAAAAGTGATATCACTAAAAAGACCCAGTATGAAAGCAATGAACATAAAAAGAAAATGGAAGAACCGGACTTATAGAAAACGCAAAAATAAAACAGGGAAAAGGTTAAAAAGAATGTTCTACGCCTGTTTGATATTTTTTTGTCCCGCTGAACAATAGTTTAAACTTTTTCCGTTTATTAAACCAAATACTTTATAATTATAAATTTTTATTTTGAAACTATATATTTTGTATTAGTAAAAAAAATCATATATTTAGTTTTCTCTGAATTAAACTGACTCAACTGACTGTAGTTAAGTGGATAACACAACAAACTGATAAATAACAGTGCCATCTATTGTTGAATAGTTTATTAATTTGATTCAACTATTAAAAAATAGAATACGATATTTTACATTACTTTCCCTAAACCTTAAAAGCGTTGAATTATTTAATTTACCAATAAACATACATATGTTGTTCTGTAAATGATTTGACTGCTCTGTTTTTAATTCAGACAAGATCGCGGTCGAATTTAAAGTAATAAAATAAAAACTAGCACACGTATGATGTGCGACTTGATGGTAGGCAGGTGACTGGCCACACGGTACGGAGTACGGACAGGGAGATTATCTCCACAAACACAGATCGGGCCCCATGCTGTGCTCCTCACGTAGCTCCTGTTCACATGCATATAAAGTACCGATGGCAAAACAAATAGCTATCAATATACTACGAATCTAGTCGGACTAACTACACCTTAGTGTAGTTTTTTAATTACATAGCTTAATAATTAAATATGCTTATTACGATCATAGAAATTAATAAAAATAGAATAGATTCATAGGATCTTCGTATCTTGGAAAATTTTCATCTAAGATATTATTTTAATAGAACTTCGTAACTAATATGTAACATAGGAAGTTAATGTTATGTCCGATTAAACAGCATATTATAATTTTCTAAATAGTACAGTTGAATAGCAGTTTTGCAGCTCACAATGTAGTCGATTAATCTAAGATAAGAAGTTACACTAAGTAAATAAGTTTACCAATATAGATTCGTAGTTCTGTATAATTTACTTTGTGTTTATGTTCAGTCTGTACGTCGAGAGTCAGTGACAGTGGCGAGGTCCCGGGTTCAGCTCCCGCTGTCGGTCGCGGCCGCCGATACCAGCGGCAAGCGTAGCGCAGGAATGTGAGAAAATAAATTATAACCTTTATTAAAAGTATTCAAATTAAAGGTCAGTTAACGTTGCTTAAATAACTCAGTAGTTATAATGTTACAAATATTTTAATGAAAATTAATTCGATAATTGTTTCATTTGCGTAAAATGACAGAATGGCGCACTTACTTTACCAAGTCAAGTGTCAGATTTATTAGTGAGGGGACATAAATGTTGACATTTGAATAAGGGTAGCATTGCGCCGATACACTGGCACTGTTTCGGATTTTCTTTCTACCATTACGAATACAGCATACCGCCTACAATTTAACAAACGTATTAATATAAAATTAATATAAAATATAAAATTAAAAAAAAAAGTAAGATAAAATTCTTCTAACTGAGAGTGATGGTAACAAAATCTGTAAAATTTCTACAGAAATGATGCATCAATGTTTTAAGACGAAATTTTCGAAGTGGTCCTGTAAACGTCGGCTCGTATTAAAAGACGATTGGATGTCGAGAGATCTCCTCGCCGCAGCCGGGGCGACCGCTTACATCAATGATGCCGCCATCTTTGACGCGCCGCTTTGTGCGCTACTGAATATAACTTGTATAGTGACCAATAATTAACAAAAATACAGAATTTTAAGATTGTAAAAGTTTCGCTTACAATATTCTTTTCAACCACTTTATATATTAAAATCAACAATCCATAATTACAAGACGCAAATCATTAGAGATTCCAGCAGTGAATTTTTTTCCATTTCTTTTTTTTTATTATTACCAATGATTAACTGATAAACCTCAAGTGGTAAATACATACAGGCCTGTTGAGTTAATTGCCTACTTTTTTTTAAGAGAGATGACAGTACATTTTTGTATGAGTATGTGTAAGACTTTTTACATCATACTTCATATTAATATTATATAGATGGATTGATGTTTGTTTAAAGCTATCTTTGGAATGGCTTAACGGATCTCGCTGAAATTTTGCTTAGATGTAGACGGAGTTCCAGGGAGCAGCTAGTTCTTATCATAAATGAAATAGACCAGAAGCAAGTTTCTAAAAAAAAATTGTACCTTAATTAAGTTTAAAGTTTGGTCACCCTAATCACACACTATACGGTATTCATTACTTGATTTTCAATTGATAATTAAGCTCCTGTTACAATGATACTTTCTACTGGCCGATTGAAAGACATTCTTTGACTGCTTTGGGAGGAAAAACATTCTATAGCCTTTGTGCTATATATTTGTAACGACTGTTTGTGATACCAATAAGAGAAATCTTTATTTATTACCGTGATAATTTATTAAAGTTTTTTTGAAATGGATTTGTATGGAGACTAACTTTTAAAGCAAAAAACAGTACTTTTGGGGAAAGTTTGCTTTTGAATTTGGTAAAATATTCACGGTAAAAATCTAAAATACTTTGCCGATTCCGAAATTCGAAAATTTGACTATCTTTTTAGATGTAGGCAAAGTTATTAAGTTTATATTACTATGAGATGTATCTTGTCTTCCGTCGCCGCCACGCGACTTGGGAGGTTGCGGCGCTTTGTGGGATTATCCGTGGAATCTGCGATCCTTGTATTGTGGTGCAACAGTCGCCCGCCACTGTGCGTCGGTAGCTTTACGTTACTTATATCTTAACAATTTTTTCTTAAGCCCCTTTTCATTTTATTTAGCAATACATTTCATTTTTTACTCTACAAAAGCTATCTATTTATTCGGTTACTTGTTCTAAACAGGTGTGGTTTAGGTTTATGTAAATTTATTGTAATACTAGCCTTTAAATTATTCAAACTTTCGTGAGACATTATACTAAACTGATATATAAACACGGCTAAACACTCACGTATATACTCCGGTGGCGGCACAGACTAGTGAGCGACGGGCCGCGTCCGCGAAATAATACCAGTACCACTCATCCTGATGAAGGGCCCTCGAGGGGCTCGAAACTGTTCGGTGCCGCCACCGGACGTATATACGTGAGTGTTTAGCCGTGTTTATATATCAGTTTAATACTAGCCTATGTGTTCTTCCAGACGGTGTTGTACATCTATGTCAAATTTCCGATCCATGCAGCCGTTATGGAGATACCTTCTAACAAACATCTAACCGTACATCCAAACATTCGCGTTTATAATATTACTAAGATTTTTATATTTATATTCGTTTCCATCAGTAACCATGCATGTGTGCAACTAGGTAATCGAGGACATAGATATTCTTGACTAAATAACTTCGTTTAGCCTCTAGCCTTAGAAAAATCACTTCTACCACAAGACTTCTATGTAATTTTCCAGATTATGCTTTATTCCTCTCGTCTGCTAAAATCAATAGATTGCAATAATGCCATATTTTCTTAAATGTCTTCCGACAGTCACGATGGCCAGTGGTCGTCGCGTTCACAGAACATTATTATTTGAAGGTGTCGGCGATACAAACAAACGCGAAACCCATTTATGCTCTAGTGCATATCCATTACATGGAGTAATTGTTATTTTAAATCCCTCTTAAAACCTCATTGCAGGAGCCGACGGCGTCGCTTTAGTTGAAAAAATAAAGTGACCAGTGGCGCGTTTAAATTTGGAATCGTCGCCATCTTGTAAAAACGGTTTCAAATGTTAAAAGCCAATAGTACATCGCGCGTTTTGTTACTATCGTTTTCAAAATTTGTGAACACAATCCCGCAATGTATAAAAGTTAGGACTAAAGGAAGTTGTAGATGAATGCTACGTTATTCGGACTTTTAAGCGTGCGTATTTGGTCATAGATTTGCATTCGTTGGTTTGATTTTGAATAGATAAATATTATATATATTGAAGTAGCGATGATGTGTTACTTACTTACAAATTCAATACACACTTCAAAGCA